TAAGCCTTCACCTAAAGTACAATTAAAAAAAAAAAAGGGGGGCAAAGGATATGAACAGACACTTCACCAAAGAAGACATTCAGGCGGCCAACAGACACATGAGGAAATGCTTGTAATCATTAGCCATTAGAGAAATGCAAGTCAAAACTACAATGAGATACCATCCCACCCTAACATTACTGGCATTAATCAGAAAATATCAAATGTTGGAGAAGTTGTGGGGAGATTGGAAATCTTGTGCCCTGCTGGTGGGAAAATAAAATAATACAACCACTATGGAAAACGATATGGTACCTCCTTAAAAAAGCTAGAAATAGAAATACCCTATGATCCAGCAGTCTCAGTCTTAGGAACATATCCTAGAGAAATAATAACCATTACGCGAATAGACATACGCACACCCTTGTTCATTGCAGCATGATTCACAATAGAAAAAAGACGGTATGATCATTAAATTTGTGTGTCAACTTAGCTGGGCCATGATTGTCAGTGGTTTGGCAGTTATGACATAGTTTGGAGATTGTATGATGATGTGATCACTTCCATGATGAGATTTGATATAATGTGATCACCTCCATGATGGGATCTGCTCTGAGTAGCCAGTCAGCTGAAAGGAAGTTTCCTTGGGGATGTGGCCTGCATCTAATATAAGTGGACTTTGTGGCAAGGCTCGTGGGCTTTTGCTGGTTGTGGATCCTGCAGCTGGCTCCCGTTCATCTGACTTCCAGTGTTTGGGACTTAAGCTAGCAGCTTAGCTGCTGTCTTGCTTGCTGAACTTGGGATGTGATGGTCTTCAAAGACTGTGAGCAAGAACCCTGCTGTCTGACCTGCCAATCTTGGGTTTGCCAGCCCCGGTGGCTACATGAATCAGGAGAAGCCACCAGCCTGACCCTCGGATTTGGGATGTTCCAGCTTCTACAACTGCATGAGCCATTTCCTTTATATCATTCTCTCTAGGTAGATATGTATACACCTTACTGGTTTTGTTTCTCTAGAGAACCTAGCTGTCAATAAGTTGTACATTTATAAAAAGTCGAATTGGGAAAAAAAAAAAAAAAGAATGTATTGTATTTGCCCCTTACTATTTTTTATTGTTACTTTTATTACGGAAAAATTGAAACTTACCCAAAAATAGAGAAACTAATTGAACTCTCAAGTATCTACCACCCAGCTTTAACACTTAACAATATTTTGCCAATCTTCTTTTATCCATCGTTTGTTTTGGTTTTGGCTGGAATATTTTAAAGCATCTCCCAAGCTAGAGTATATATCCCTTCCATATGTATCTTTAAGCAAGGATAAACACACTCACACATAGCCACAATTGCACTATCACACTGAAAAAATTAACAGTAACCCTTTAATACCATCTCATACCCAAGGCCATGTTCATATTTCTTTAAATTTGTCTTTAAACATCTCTTCTTAGAGGTAGTTTGTTGGCATCAGGATCCAAACTAGGTTCACACGTTGCATTTGGTGATTTGTGTCTATTCATCTATTACATTTCCCCTCCCCACTGGCCATTTTTTAATTTTCCACATTCTGAATTTGGCTGATTGCATCATTTTGTTGTTTCCTATAACCTGGTGTTTAGAACAGAGGCTTGCTTCGAATCAGTTTCTTCTTCAGTTTTAAACAATAATACTTCACGGGGGTGCTATGCGTCCTTCCTAGTGAATCACATTGTGGTTCCGCTTTCAGTGTTGCTAAGATTGATAAGTGGGTTATCGGTCTGATCTCTCTGGTATGAAGTTCCCCACTGATCTTTTACTTAATGAATTACTAACATCTATTGATGATCATTGCTGTAATCTAGGTATTGGTAAACTTTCCTGTAAAAGGCCAGATAGTAAATATATTGGGCTTTGTAGACCATACAGTCTCTGTTCCAACTACTCAGTTCTGCCGTTGTAGCATGCAAACATTTCATACACAATACATAAACAAATAAGTATGACTATGTTCTGGTAAAACTGTTTACAACAATAGGCAGTAGGCTGGATGTGGTCCATGGACGATAGTTTACTATGAGGGCCTAACGGCAGTTTCATTTGGAGTTGCAAAAGGATGCTGTTCAAATCCTATCATTTCCTCTCCATTTATTACCTGTACCAGCTTTCCTTCATCAACTATTCCATTAGTCTAAAATGTAATTATATAGGAAAGGTAGGATAAATGCTGTATTTCCCTTTACTGGTTTTATAATAAGGAGTTAGTGCTCTAACAATGATGAGGGTTATTTGGTTTTGGTACCATTATGAACTCATGGGTTTACATATATTTGAAATATTTCAATTTATTACAGTCATTATTCTTTTTAATGCTCAAATTGTCCCATCTTGAATCCCTATCAAGATGACTCCTGTGTCTTTTTCTTTTTTTCTTTTTTTCCTTGTTTCCTTTTGATACGACCCAGGTAACATCCTTGCTTTTTGGCCAGAAAGGTCCCTGGTGCATCTTGTATGTTTTTTGCATCAGCTCTAAAATCAGCCATTTCTCAAAAAAAATATCTTATTTCTTTCTGGAGAAAGTTTTACCAGCTTATGTTTATTTAAGTCATATTTTATAGTATATTTTAATGTAGAGAATAGTCATATGCTATGTTTTACTGTGATTTTAGTTAAATTATCCATGGCTACAGAAAGCCCATCTGCCAGGCCTATGTATCTAGGAATAGTAGTTAAGACCATTCGTCTGATGGTAACTTTTTAAGTTGTGGGTTGCGTTGTTTAAAAAGAAGGGCATCTTAATAGAGCTAGCTGACACTTCCAAGCATGTTCTCTGAGTAGGCCCACAGTTTCTTTTCTCTTAATTGTGCCTTATTTTGTCTGGGTTTAGACCCAAGACCACAAGTCAGCAAGTTTTGACATCCTAAATATGATTTGGAAATCACCAACACATTCAGTTATTTCCTCCTTCCTCATTTAATAGAGGTGCAAGCCAAAACCTGTGGTCACTGGTTTCAGTACCACAAGACTGATAGACAATAGAGGGGCAACTTGGCATTCTGTTTTTGAAAAGTTGCATGTCACTATTATGAAAATTTTTTTAACTGGGAAAATCATTTTATTAATCTTAGTTTCTGTTGTGATTTTTAGTTTGTGTACATTTTAACATTTTAAATTAACTTGTAGAAGTCATTTCGCTGTGGTTTCATTTAAATATGTTTCACAGAATCCAAAATAACCATTGAAACAATATTTAAGTACCTTGGCTGTTCCTGGCATGAGATGAACAAAGTTTTTTTTCCTCCTTATTCCATCATGAAAGATTATAGCTTTATCATTGCAGGGAGAAAACTACATTCCTTTCAGTTTATTTGGACCCAGTTACGATGGTTATAGCCCGTTAACTATATGGGGAGCAATAGCCAAAACAATGCTTAACATGTCTTCATTCTCCTCAGTTCTTTGCACACCTTCAACTCACCTTTTGGTCTGTGCTACCATACTCAACCCCCTTAGTCTTACTTTAGATAGTACTTTAGGCTAAGAGTAGTTATTTATTATTACTATTTATGCAAAATACTGTTCAATTGGCTAGCAAAAGTAGTATATTCTTGAAAATAACCAAAAATTGGTTGAGCTTTCACCTTCAAAGGACCAAGCATCAACAGACAAGGTTCATGACCTGAAATTTTTATAATTACACATTAATTAAAGAGTTAGGATTTTATGACTCAAAAAAAAACAAAAAACCAAACCTGTTGCCATCAACTTGATTCCAACTTATAGCAACCCTAAAAGACGGAGTAGAACTGCCCCGTAGAGTTTCCAAGGAGCTGGCTGGTGGATTTGAACTGCCCACCTTTTGGTTAGCAGCCGAACACTTAACCACTGCGCCACCAGGGCCCCTTTATGACTCAAGTCACACTATTTACTACCTTTTTAAGGAAACTAGTACTGCATTTCTGCTTTTCCATTATGTATATAATAAATTTCATGTTATTTAGACCCTTTGCAACTAACGGGCAAATCAGATCCTATTGTTCTCTTTCATCATCCAAAACATTCCTTGGTTTTTGTATTTATTGTCATTAACCAAAGTTTTGAGCAGCATTAGTTGGTTAGCACTTCAAAACTGAAAATTATTTATTGAGAGAGTAAAACTACAGAAAATTAATTCTGACTTTAGCCAGATATTTAAAGTATGGTTTATTTTTTGGTAGAATGTGTTGTACAGATTTATACACATAGATATAGACTATATAATAGTGAGTTTCTGCATTAGGAATGTTAACAGCTATCCTGTTTTCGTAATTATTTACAAAAGTGGCATTTGATATAAATATACTTCTCTTCAGACCTAAGGTTTCCAAGAAAATCAAGGTTACAGATTAAAACATAACATTAAACCTTAAAGTAAGAGAATAAAAACATTTGAGACCTTTTTTAAAACCCAGAGAACGATGAGACTAATGGGGCACAACAGTCGGAGACAAGGACTAGAAGGCAGTAGGGGACAGGAAAGATGATAATAGGGAACCCAAGGTTGAGAAGGGATGGTGTTGACATGTCATGGGGTTGTTGACCATTGTCATAGAACAATATTTGTACTAACTGTTTAATGAGAAACTATTCTGTAAGCCTTCATCTGAAGTACAATAAAAAATAAATAAAGACATTAAAAAAAAGAAACCCAGAGAACAAATTCTGTGAGTATTATGATGTGGAGATAAATGTAGCATATCTCTTTTAGAAACATGTCATATTTTAATAACTGTACTTTAAGCTTTTTAACTGTGTTGTGCATTCCAAATTTTTTGAAATATAAGCAGTTTTTCTTGTAGGGATTCATTTAAGAATGAAGGAATGTTAAGTCTAAGTTGATACATGTTTCTCATTTTCTGGAGGCTGAGTAGCTTTCTTGTGCCAATTGGCTGTTCTTTTTCTAAAGGAGGAGCAGAGCATAAAAATAAATTATTAAATTGTAACCTAAAAATATTTTGGAATTATTCCTCTAAAATGTTGTCTTTTTTTTTTTTTTTTTTGTTATAGAAAGACACAGCTTTCCATCTGAGCTTGATATTGAAAGAAGACATGAAAAACACCAGTTGGATTAGAAAGAACTGGCTCCTCGTAGCTGGGGTGTCTTTCATAGGTGTCCATCTTGGGACATATTTTATACAGAGGGCTGCAAAACAGTCTGTAAAACCTCAATCTGGAGGCAAACGAGAGTATTGAACAATGAAGTGAAATAAATATTTAGAATTACTAATATGTCATGAAATTATTACATGCTGACTAGCTTTGTAAACATGGAACTATTTAATTTTACAACCACAAGGCTGCATATCCAGCCTTTGGTTCTTGTAGAATAATTTTTCTTTAATATTAAAAACCTATGACAGGGCAATAAACGGAAAAATATGATTAACAAAATAGAAGCTATCTTCACAAGTTACCAGCTGAAGTAAGATGTCTCGTTTAGAAGCTAAAAAGCCATCCGTGTGTGAAAGTAAACCACTAACAAGGGAGAGACTCAGGACCACGCTTTCTGTCTTAAAAGGAATCGTCGCGTCGTGCTATGGCCCTTCAGGTCGGCTGAAGCAGCTGCACAATGGTGCTGGAGGTCACGTGTGCACAACTTCACAGTCATCAGCCCTGCTCCGTGGCCTTTCGGTCACCCACCCCGTATTAAAGATCCTGACAACTTCCATGCAGAATCATGTGTCTTGCTTCAGTGACTGTGGCTTGTTCATGGCCATTCTTTGCTGCAACCTGATTGAATATGTTGAGGGAATAGACCTGGCACCAACCACAGTCATTGAATTAAATAAGCAGCTTTTGAGCCTCTGCACCAGCTATCTCAAGTCTGAGGCCTGTGCTTGTCGGATCCCAGTCGACTTTAGTAGTACCCAGATCCTCCTCTGTTTGGTGCGCAGCATATTAACCAGTAAACCTGCCTGCATGCTCACCGGAAAGGAAGTAGATCACATCAGTGCTTTGGTTCTGAGAGCCTTTTTGCTTACAATTCCAGAAAAGGCTGAAGACCACATCATTTTAGGAAAGAGTATAATTGTACCTTTAAAAGGGCAGAGAGTTATAGATTCTACTGTATTACCCGGAATGCTCATTGAAACGTCAGAAGTTCAGTTGATGAGGACGTTGCCTATCAAAAAATCCAGTGCCCTCAAGGTGGCGCTCTTTTGCGTGTCTTTATCTGGAGACTTTTCTGACACTGGAGAAGGAACTTTGGCAGTCAGTTACGGAGTGTCTCTTGAAAGTGCAGTCCTGGACCAGTTGCTTAACTTAGGAAGGCAGCTGGTGTGGGACCACATAGATCTTGTCATATGCCAAAAAGTTATACACCCATCTTTGAAACAGTTTCTCAGTACGCACCATGTTATTGCCATAGACAGAGTTGGAGTAGCTCTGATGGAACCGCTGAGTAAAATGACAGGTAAAAAGCACTCTCAGCTTTCACCTCTTACATTTAATGTGTCACACTTTTTGAGCAGAGATATTCTTGGTGTGTGTCACTGTATTAACATCTTGAAAAATTTTAGAAGCCACCAACCTCACCACATGTGCAAGTACCATTTCTGGCAGCAAAGGTTATTTCTGTATCATTCAGTTACTAAAAAATTATTGAGTGATTATGGCCATGTTTTACAAATTTTCCAGCCTCCAAAGATACTAGAGTCATAATTTAAAACTATTGACCTCCAGCTGTTTTACAGATTATTGAGAAAGGTCTAACATCCTCAAAATCATAAGAGTTTTCCTACTTTACACAAAATACTTTCATTGGAATTTTACAAAGCTCCTAAATCAAACATTCTATCAGAAAATAATTTTGCAGGTAGAGTACTTTTCCTTCACTTTCATCATAAATCAAACAAACTACTTCTACTGCATAAATACTCATACCCTCTGCCGTTGAGTCGATTTTGACTCAGCAAACCCTATAGGGCAGAGTAGAACTGCCCTATAGGGTTTCCAAGGAGCGGCTGGTGGAGTCAAACTGCAGACCTTTCAGTTAGCAGCCAAACAATTAGTGATTCCTAATTAGATTTGGGGGATGAGGTGCACTCACTTACTATGTCTTTAAATACCCTAACAGCTGAGCTCCTTGAGAACAAGGGCCATTTTTTTAATTTCAGCGCTTAGAACAAGACTGGCTGACAGTAGATGTTCTATAATATTTGTTGAATTGACTAATAAACTTGGTAACACAGACTATTAAAAAAGAAAACCCACTGCCGTCGAGTCAATTCCAACTCATAGGACAGAGTAGAACTGACCCATAGAGTTTTCAAGGAGCAGCTGGTGGATTTGAACTACCAGCCTTTTGGTTAACAGCCAAAATGCTTAACCACTGCACCACCAGGGCCCCAACATGTACTATATTGTACATGTACTGTATTTCACAAAATCACATTGAAATCTAATATTAGGCTGATCTTATTCACCTATTTGAGCCAGTGAGAACTGATGACCTGAAGAGTCCCTAATTTCAGTCACTTTTCAGTATCTCTGACTGCACTTACAGTCTATCAAAGATGATCATTTAGTTCTGCATTGATTGTAGTTTTTAAGTTGTTAGACTTCAATATTAAACCGTTGTTGAACTTCAGTATTTTCATTCTTATAAATCGAAAAGTATTTATGCCACGTGTTGTGTGGAATACGTATTATCTCTGGGCTGTTGCCTTACCTTTGTACAACTGTCAAATGACCCTTAAAGTGGAAAGCGTTAAGCAGTGGAAATAATTCACTGGAACTCATTCTGATACTGAAGGTCAGACCTATATTCTTAAATATTTACTGGCTTTTTGCAGACAATTTCCATTTTCTGAATAGTGATTTCCAGTTTATTACATCAGTTTTAAAGATACGAAACATTTTCCCATAGGAACAACATGGTATTAATAGCTGTAGCATCAGTCCCAGATCTTGGGAAGAGAGTCCCTTTGGGACAAGAGGGAAGGGGGGGCGGGACTTCATCCACATGATTTAGGAAACTTAGAATAGGTAAAGTATGTTTTTGGCCTAATCTTGCCTCGTGTATTTACGTCAGCATTACCTTTTTTCTCCCCCATTTCTTCAAACAAAATTCCTGTTTCTGAAGTTGATCTAGGTTAAATAGTGGGTGTTACTGAGTGTGGACGACCAGCATTTGTGAAGCATGTCATGGTTTACAGAGAATTTTTAATATATTTATTTGCGAAGTAGGCATTAAAAAAAAACACTGCCATCAAGTTGATTCTGACTCGTAGCAACCCTATGGGACAGAGTAGAACTGCCCCGTAGGCTTTTCAAGACTAGTCTTTATGGAGGCAGACTGCCACATCTTTCTCACGCACAGCAGCTGGTGGTTTCGAACTGCCAACCTCCTGGTTGGCAGCTGAGTGCTTTACCCACTGTGCCACCAGGGTTCCTTTAAGTAGGCATTGTCATCCCCATTTTACTCTCATGTGGGAAAGCTCACCTACCCAGAAAAGTCAAATGACACGAGTGACTTGCTCAACGTCCAGTGGCTGATAAGTGGTAAAGCTGAGTTCTCGCTCCAGGTCCTCTGTTGTTTCCATCACATGAAATTACACGATCACATTTAGGGGTGTTGTTTGTTATCTCTTACACTTCAGATAACTCTTGGAGTCATCAAAAGTAAAAAGGATATTCAAAACAGGAAAATTGTCCAGTGATTATTTTCTGGGTTCTTAAAATTTTTCAGAGCTGTGTTTTTAGACGTCATTGTTTAACCCTGTTAGTTTAAAAGATTAGGAAACTGGCCCAAAGGGGTGAACTGCTCAGTTACAGTTTTAATCTTTAGACTTTAAATGCACATTGTTATTTCTTTTATTAGAATAGTTTTTTTTTTTTTTTTAACATAATTTCTACTATATTAAGAGATTTTGGAAGTACTATTCAAGTCATCTTAACTTCTCATTTATTCATATTACATTAATTTTTGATTTGTAAAGTGTTACTGTTTGACCTGTGCGTGATGCAGGGGGGTAGGGCAAAATAACATATCAAAGAATAACAGAGGGAGATAGAAATTTCACATACTTTATTTTGGCATAATTTATGTAACTACTTGCATACAAATAATTGCTAGACCAAAAAAAAAGAAAAATTTTTAGCTCTTCACTAAACATAGCCCCAAAGGATTTCAGCTACACACTTATTTGGATAGTTTAATTTGTTTGCTTTATAGTAAAATAATAAAACAGGCTGTCTCTTCACTTCACCCCTATTCCAGATTAATGGAGTTCTTTTGGGGTCTCTGATCCCCTGTATGGTCTTCCAGAGGTCTGGACTCCACAAAATTGTATACAAATTTTTACATGCATTTTTCTGGGGTGAGAGTACAAAATAACTTCCAACAGATTTTCAGAGTCTATACATCAAAAGAAGGATCTCTGCTTTATTTATTTATAATTTTAATAGCAGAATACTACTTATTTCATAAATTTTAAGAGATGCATCTTGTTATTTCTTTATCCTACATTTCATATTTTAAATGGTATGCTTGGTGAGACTGACAATGGCTAGGAATAATTATAATTTTAAAGGATTGTGTGTTCCACCTTTGCTTATATATTCTTTGTTTTCTAAACTTTAATAAATAGGAACACAGCCTATTGGTTCCCTAGGCTCAATCTCTCCTAGTAGTTATGGAAGTGTGAAAGATTTGTGCTCTGCAAAATTTGGCTCCAAACATTTTTTTCATCTTATTCCTAATGAAGTGGCTGTCTCCAGCCTGCTCCTCTGCAACAGAAATGACACTGCCTGGGATGAGCTGAAGGTAGGTAATATACTTGGTCCCACATCCAGGTGCTGAGGCAGGGACTAAATAGTCACTCAGACACTATGATTTTTTTTTTTTCCTCCCCCCATAACTTCACTATGTGGTATAGAAAGCAAAAACAAAACTGAGAGAAGCAAAGTCACAAGTAAGCCAATGTAATTGCCTATGGCATTACAGTGGAGTGGGCACATGCTACCGTTTATTCTAGTATTCACAAGCAATCCAAAGGTCGTTGGCTTGTAGAAACTCTTCCTAAGAAATTAATTTGAATTGCAATTTAATAAGGCAAGTGATAATCTGTGGGACTAGTCACAAACTTGACGATCCTTGTATGCTCAAGGATATATCCTTGGTGAATATTAAAGGTCTCTGTGTTTTCTATTTATTATTGCTAGGTTGTAGCTGTATCATTTCCAAAGCAATCTGAAACAAATTCTATAATATTTATACAACTAATTTATTTAGCCTGAAGTAATTTTTTAAATAGAAGCACTAGCAAACATTGCTGACCCAGATATTTTGAGGCCATCCGTTTGTGAATCTCAATTTGAAGAGCTAACTGTATATGAAAGAAAACGAAAATCAGGCTTTATAAAAACAAACATCTGGCTAAAGTATCTTTAATCTCTATTCTTTATTATTCCAAAATATATTAATCATATTTAGAACCTTGGTATCACTTGTTTTCTTTTGCAATTAAAATCAGGTTCTGAGTCCTCTCTATTGCTTCGAAAGCATGATTATATTTCTTCATGTATCTGATGGGAATGTCTGATTCTGATGATTTGTTTCCTTTTTAGCTCACATGTCAAACAGCACTGCATGTCTTGCAGTTAACAATCAAGGAACCTTTTGTGTTTTTGGGAGGTGGCTGTACTGAAACTCATTTGGCTGCATATGTCAGACACAAGGTAGGATAGATAGTCCTTCTTTGCAGATTATCTGAATTCTCAGCAGCTTTCATTTTATAAGATAATAAACCAAATTTTAATACCCTGAAGCCTCTAACACTTAATGTCTGAGTAGTCTAAGTCAGATATTTAAAATCACTTGAGAAAAATATCACCTGCAAATATAAGGTAATATTATTGTAATGATTATTATTAATCTTTTAGCAAATAGTCACCTCCTTTGAGCATTGTCTACATGTACTACATGTTGAAACTAGCACTGTGTTAATGGGAAGTCTCTCATTGGAGATCTCAACGCTGTGGTACAATAAGAATTGATGTTCACAGTGAAAGTGCTGAGATCCTACAAAATACATCAATACCTTCTGAATCAAGAAAAGATGTGACTAATTTCATTTATTAAAGCATTCCAAGTATTAGATCCCATTATAAGTTTTTAATTGGTATCCATTTATATATTCTGTTAAATAGGATATTTTGGATTAATCTAGGAAACTTCATTTCCTAACAATTGTCTGATAAGTTTAGTGTATTATAGTTTTAATTAATTATTTCATAAACACTTATATATTTTATTTGAAAATAGATTTAAAAATGTGTAGTTGTTTTCCAAACATTTGCAATTGGTTGTTTGATTATACAGGAGTGTCATCAGTGACTTTGCAGAGCTCCCCACTGGGTGATGGGGGTTAGAGAGAATGTAAACTTTTTTTACAGACATGCCCCACCCTGCTTCCCCAAATTGTTTAAAATGTATTTGGAGACAAAGCCCCACTCCTATAAAATTATTAGAATTGTTGTTGTTGGTTGCCATTGAGTCAGCTTTGACTCATGGCAACTCCATTTACAATGGAATGAAATGTTGCCGGGTTCTGCACCATCTTCACAATTGTTGATATGCCCACGTCCATTTTGTTAGAATATACAGAATAAAAAACAAAATTAAATCTATTGATGCTGAGTGGGTAATAATGTAATCTGCAAATGGAATTGAGTAAACTTGAGAAAGTTTTTTGGAGGAGGGAGATGTGGAGTAGAATTTTAAAGAAAAATGAAGTGTTGAAGGTATGGGAAAAATGCAATAGAGATGATCTCATCTGGTTGAAACTCCTGGCAAAAAAAAAAAGGTGGTCACTGTTTTTAAGTAGTTAGGATATGGACTTTTTAGCTATCATTCAGTTTGCTACTATGTTAATTTTTTTTTTCTATCATGAAGTTTCTAGGATAAACTTTTTAGAATGGTAGACCCAAAATATAGTTTAAAATCATATTATGCTTTCATTAACTTAAAGAGAAGAATATTCATCTTTAAAACACTGATGTGAAAATTGTAGATATCCCTAAATGTTTTTTATTTTAATAATCATATGTGGGTTCTCATTTTAAACAAATCTCAGACATTTTGCCGAATATAAATCGGTACTTCCTTTGGAGCATTAGTCTTCAAGAACTTATCCCAGTGTGTATAAAAACCTATAATACATGCAGCATGCCGTGTTCTTCATAAATTAAGAGGCACTATTGGTCAGTCATTGAGAATAAGCTGGTGATGAGATTTATTCTGATTCATTTATTCTGAGAACATGACTGGTAGCATACATTTTTACTATCACCAACAGGGTTAAGGGCCTGGCCAGCTGACCCAGACATGCCTACTAGCATCATACTCCAGACCCCTAAGTAAATGAAAGTAAGAAGTAACTTTATGAATAAGGTTTTGATCAGATAGTCTATTTTTCAGATACCTTTTTACAAATGTCAGAAACATTTTCTGAATTTTTTTAAAATAAATGATTTTGTAGTATTAATTGCCTTCCGTGTGTTTTCTATGGTTTTATATTGCTCTTTAGACTCTTAACGAGCCAGGAAGCATTCTCAAAGATGTTGGATATACTCAAACAGAACTTCATCTAATTGCTGAAGCATTTTGCAGTGCTCTAGAATCTCTCGCAGGTTCTTTAGAACATGATGGAGGTGAAATTCTCACTGACATGAAGTATGGACACTTTTGGTCAGTTCAGTCACATTCTCCTCCTGTAGCTAACTGGCCAGATTTGCTTTCAAGATGTGGTTGTGGATTGCACAGTAACCAGGAAGAACTCAGCTGGTCTTTCTTAAGAAGCACTCATCATCCTTTTGTGCCGCAAAACAGCCTTCCACATGAAGCTGCCAGCTCAGCCAACAACCTGACTTTGGACTGTTTTACTGCCAAGCTTAGTGGCCTACAGGTGGCTGTGGAGACAGCCAATTTGATTTTGGACCTTGCGTATGTCATAGAAGATAAAAACTGATACAAGAGAAGAACACATTTTTCAAATAAAAAAAATCTAGTCAGGTGTCAATTAAGACAAATATTGAATGTATTTGTTCTCTCCCAAAGGGCTGTTCAGCATATTTGGACAGATGATTCATAAAGATATATAGATACAGTTATTTAAGGAAAGCCACAATTCCTAAATAGAAATGTCATAAACTAATAAAAAAATGAAACATTTTTGTTAAAGATGTTATAGTCATCTTAAGGATTCCATAGATACTACTGTACGTTGTTTTAAATGTTTTTGTTGTTATTGTTATTTTGACATCATTCTAACTATATGTAGAAAATTTAAAAAAATCCTAATCCATTCTCTAGCTTGGACATAATTGTTATGGGTATTTTCTATTTACTAATAATTACCTGTGTTTAAAGTATAAAATTGTATTCTAATGTATCACAAAGCATCCAGTACATATTGCCCAGTCAAAAAATGTATTCTAACTTAACATTCAGTAAAATTTCACTTTTCTCAATGTCCTTTATCTGAGACTGTATTATTCAGTGGTTAGGTAATTGATGTAGAACTGGTTTGCCAGCATTGCTAGTTTGTATCACAGTTCTTTATTTTTGTTGTTTTTAAGGAAACATGTGATTAGAAAAAAAAATAGACATATAATAGCTAAGACTGAAAAAACTTTTTTATGTCTTCACGTTTAAAGCTGGAGGAAGGATGAGTTTGTCTTAGACCGGGATTTCTTGACCTTAGCACTACTGACATTTTGCACTAAATATTTCTTTGTTGTGGGAGCCATCCTGTGCATTGTAGGATGTTTAGCAGCATCCCTGGCCACTACCCACTAGGCACTAGTAGCACACCACAGCTGTGACAACCAAAAATGTCTCCCGACATTGCCACGTATCCCCTGGGAAGCAATATTGCCTCTGGTTGAGAACCACTGTTTTAGCCTGATGGAGAAGGAGGCAAAGTAAGGACTTCAGAGGCAGCATAGAGATAAGAAGTGGACGACTTATTTCTTTAGTCAACAGTGCAAAAAAGATACAACTCCTATATTCAGAGTAGAAGCACTGATGTTTGTTTTACCAAGGAATGTAATTTAAATTTTATGGCAAGTGCGAGGTGTATTGATAAATGGAAGAAGAAATAGAGTAGAGAAACCCCGAGAGTATGGCCCCTGGACACCCTTTTAATGCAGTACTGAAGTCACCCTGAGGTTCACCCTTCAGCCAAAGATTAGACAGGCCCATTAAACAGACAGTAACACACGCAGTTCAACCATGTGTACGAGACTAAATGGGCACAGCAGCCCAGGGGCACGGATGAGAAGGCAGGAGGGGATAAGAAAACGGGAGGGATGGAAATGGGGAACACGAGGTGGAGAAGGAGAGACTGTTGACATGTTGTAGGGTTGGCAGCCAATGTCACGAAACATTGTGTATTGATTGTTTAATGAGAAACTAATATGCTCTGTAAACTTTCACCTAAAGCACAGTTTTTAAAAAAAAAAAAAAAAACTGGAAGAAATACAGAATGCTGCTAGAGGAGTAAGTATGGGGCTGTAACAGATGCTGTATTAAACTTTAGGAAAACATTTTGAAATTTTGGGGAAATTAAACAGCTTCGGATCTATAGCCACAATAAAGGGAAATAGAATTTTTAAGCAATTCCCTCCAATATTCTTGTAATGGAAAAGAATTTTTACTCTGAGCCAAAGAAGAATTGCAGTACAAACAGCATTGCATGTACATTGAAAAATCAGCTACATTTCAAGTGTTTGTCTAAGGTTTTACTTCTTTGTTATTACAGTTAAATAGAAAGGCAGCCTCTAAGGTGGCCCCAGTGAGCCCCACCTCCTGGTTTTCGGGGGCTTGAGTAATCCCCTCCCGAGTGTAAGCTGGACTTAGTGAATCCTTTGTGCCCCCTATTTACCTATTTTGTGAACAGGAATGTCTGTAGCCATTATCCTGTGTCTGTTAATCATTGTATGTTGGGGACCAGGTAGAAGGCAAATAACTGCTCCAGGAGCTGTACTTAAAGAACTACACCCAGGAGGCTCATCCACACCCAGACCTGATTTCAACCATGACATTCTGGACTTTGAGTTCATGTGGAAATGGAATGAGACTTTTGGGGATCTGGGCAGAGTGTGAATCTATCTTGCATGTGGTAGGCAGCCTCTAAAGAGCCACGGTGGCACAACAGTTCAGCCCTGGGCTGCTAATCTAAAGCTTGGCAGTTTGAACCCACCCATCCACTCTGCAGGAGAAAGATCTGGCGATCTGCTCCTGTAAAGATTACAGCCAAGAAAACCCTACCACGTGGGGTCGCTATGAGTCAGAATAGACTTGACAGCACACAACAGCAGGAAGCAGCCTCTAAGATAGCTCCCAATGATCCTTCCTACTGGTACTCTACCCCTTGTGTGTGGTGAGAGGGACCCTAGTGACTCACTGCTAATGAAGAGAATATGGCAGAGTGATAGGATTTCACTTACGATACTAGGTTATAAAAGTGCTTCTCCATCTCTCACTCGGTCACTCTGCTGGAAGCCGGCTGCCATGTTGTAAGCTTCCTTATAGAGAGGCTCACGTAGGAAGGGACTGTGAGAAGATTCCAGCCAACAGTCCCCAAGGAACTGAATCCTGCCAGCAACCATGAGAATGAACACGAAGCTGATCCTCCCCAGTGGAGCCTTGAGATGACGGTAGTGCTGCCTTTGCAGCCTCCTCAGAGATCCTGAAGCAGAGGGCCTAGCTAAGCTGCTCCCAGATTCCTGACCCACAGAATCTGTGAGATAACAAATTTTGTTATTTTCAGCCAAGTTTTGGATTTTATTTGTTACACAGCCATAGATATCTAATAAAGGCAGGTGGGAAAGCTTATATATAATTACTTACTGAAAGCTCGGTCATACAAGTGAAAAAAACATTCTTGATGTGATACCTTTGCATTTTCACCATCACTCCAAACATACAAGCAGTGTTCTTAATCACATGTGACATTTATGAAGGAGTGTTTTATAATCACTTAAGAGAGTATCACGTAGGAATATGGGAATTGCCCTGTCTCTTTCGCCCTATACTGTATTTCCAAGTTTCTCCAAGAAGAGATGGTGCAGAGAACCTCTCCAATTGACCTTATAGGTTAGGTGTCTCCACTTCTCATGATAGTCGTTTTTAGCTCTACCATTTTTAGCTTTGCCATCAAGTTCAGTTACATTCTTTGGTGAAGCATCAGTACTCTCACTTTGAATATATCATAAATTTGTTTAAATATTTTTATAAATTCATTTGTGTTTCCTGAAGTGTTTACAATCCTTATTAGAAAATGACTAACTAGATAGAAAACGTGTTAATATTGGTGAAGGGAAAGGCAATATACAATATGAGGGAAGTCAGCACATAACCAAGGCAAAGGAAGACACCAAGAGAAACAAGAATAAAAGGCAACTACTGTAATTACTGTAACATAGACAATCCTACAACAGTAGTTTTAACAAACAGTAGTTTACGAATGGGTACATAGGTAGATAGGTATGCTAAAGAGGTGTGGGAGAGTGTAAGGGAGCACACCCACCGGCAGATACAGATTTGGTTGTGGATATTTCTACATACATAATTGAAGGTGCTGCATGTATATTAATATAGACAATAGAGCACACAAGGGGCACCATCACGGAAACTTCTTAGACATAACCAAACACTTTGTGGGATGAAGTTCCTAGGCTCAAAGGTGAAGGACCATAGACTTGGGGGACATCTATGTCAACTGGCACAACGTAGTTTATAAAGATAATGTTCTGCATCCTACTTTGGTGAGTAGCGTCTGGGGTCTTAAAAGCTTGCAAGCGTCCATCTAAGGTACAATTTCCCATCTGGGGCAAAGGAGAGTGAAGAAGACCAAAGACTAAAGGGAGCAAATAGTCCAAAACACTAATGGATCACATGAACCACAGCCTATGCTACCCCAAGACCAGAAGAACTAGATGGTGCCTGGCTACCACTACCGACCACTCTGACTGGGATCATAATAGTGGGTCCCGGACAGAGTAGGAGAAAAACGTAGAACAAAAAATCAAATTCACAAAAAAGTCCAGACTTACTGGTCTGACAGAGACTGGAGGAACCCACAAGACTATGGCCCTAAGACATCCTTCTGACCTGGAAGTGAAGCCATTCCTGGAGACCACTTTGCAGCCAAACAATAGACAGGCCCATAAAATAAACAACACCTGAGAGGAACACGTTCCTTGAAACAATCAATTATATGAGATCAAAAGGACAACATTTGCCCAAAAGCAAAGATGAGAAGGCAGGAAGGGGTAGAAAATCCAGATGGAAAGGAAACAGGGAAACTAGGGTGGAAATGGGGACAGTGCTGACATATTGTGGGGAATGCAACCAATGTCATGGAACACTTTATATACAAATTATGGAATGGGAAACTACTCTGTAAACTTTCACCTAAAGCATAATAAAAATTTTAAAATAAAAAAAAACCTTATTCAAAAATACTGAAAGTGGAAGAAGAATAAAAACACTTCCTTAATAGTTCAAGAAAATCATCATTCAAACTCAGATGGTAAAATATGAGATGGAAATAATTTTAACAGAAAAAATAGAAACTAAGTAAGCCTCAGGCTTTGTTTGTGATATGAAGTAAGACCGAGGCCTAAATGTCACATTATGAGGTCCCTCTGGAGACAGTGCGGGAAATCTTAAGAGCTGCATAAGGGAGAGTAATGCAGCAGAGAACGAAGTCAGTGACGGCTGCCCCTTACTTCTGTGAGACTCACAGCGTTACAGTTTATTGAACCATAGGATCCAACCAGATTAGCATCTTGTTAATCAAAAGAGGTGAGGGTTTTGGCATCAAGGAAAACACAAAGGCACAAAAGCAAATTAAAAGAGCCTTTTAAGTCAAAGCACTTCATCTCATATATATCCCACTCCTTAATTCTTCCGTTTGTACTACAGTAAAACCTGTGGAAGCTGGAACCTGTGTAAGGCAGAAACCTGCTAGAAAAGGAAGACTCAAATATTTTCCACTAAAAGGAGCAGAAGAAAAGTGGTAAGACTGCTCCCTGTCAAAGGCAGAAAGCTTTTGAGAGCCGGAAAAACCAGGCAGTCCCGCTCTTACAGGTTTCATTGTATATTAGAAAATCTTTAAAGAGCCCTGGTGATGCAACAGTTAAGCACTGAGCTGCTAACTGAAAGATTGGTGGTTCAAGCCCACCCAGCGGCTCTGCAGGAGAAAGATCTGGCGATCTGCTCCCGTAAAGATTACAGCCAGGACAACTCTGTGGGGCAGTTCTACTTTGTAACACACGGGGGCGCCATGAGTCGATGGCACCCAACAGCAACAACAGAGGTTCTTTATATGCTAGACATTTTAAAACAGCCTTTAGAGTGTTTTCCAAAAGATACTTAAATTATATATTACTATATTTTATTATCGTAAGTGTATTTGAACTTAGTTTGCGTAATTAAGGCTATTTAGGCATTCACCTGATAGAAGAGAAATTTTAAGTACCTTTATAAGACCTATGATAGTCTGTATTCTTATATTGTTGAACAGTTTTTTGGATAACCTTAAAATAAAATAATATTATTGACAGTCATATAAATTATGCAGCTTATTATTTAAAAGTATCGTGTACAAAATCACTCTCATAATCAGTGCCGGTCCTGTCAAAACATCCAATTAGTTCGGTTACTCCTTTCTAATAATCTTTGGGGAATAGCCATGGAGACTAAACATCTCCTACAGGGCCCTGTTTCAGCTGTCAAAATAAATCTCTCTCTTAATCTGAGGGAAAAGGCTATTTGGAACATCTGATCTCTTTGTAATTTTTTTCATGTAGTTAACTGTTTCCACTTAGTGATCATGGCCTCTCACAATCTTTGGAAAAAAAAAAATTTTTTTATTGTACTTTAGATGAAGGTTTACAGAGCAAACTAGTTTCTCATTAAACAATTAATACGCATATTGTTTTGTGACATTGGTTCCCAACCCCACAACATGTCAACACTCTCTGCTTCTCGACCTTGGGTTCTCCATTACCAGCTTTCCTATACCCTCTGACTTCTCGTCCTTGCCCCTGGGCTGGTGTGCCCATTCAGTCTTGTTTTGTTTTATGGGCCTGTCTAATCTTTGGCTGAAGGGTGAACCCCAGGAATTTTTGGG